AGATTTATGCCCTTTATTATTTTTGTAGACATTTGGTCTCTAAAATCAACCCCCAATTTAAGATTTTCACCTAGTCTTCGTCTCATCCGTCTAGTCAATCCACACAACAAAATTCATGTACGGAGCCCCTACTTATCTCAATGTTCCCTTATAATTGCTCAACCATCTCTAAACTGTCTTAAGGTGGTTACTATTGATCTTAGTAGAGGGTTTTTATTCTTCAATGACCTTGTGTTAAAAACACCAATCACTAACTCAACATGTAAATCATGAGTGGCATGCATAAAGAGAGTCATGTACTGCACCAACAAGTATCAGTTAATATATTCAGCATCATATCCACAATTTCTAAATTATACTAATCCAATGATCACATCATAGCCGGTAAGGCTATCGAGCTCATACAAGCATGCAAGAAACGTAATACAATATCTTGAATAGAATCCAATTATCATTCATAAAGCATACAACTTGCAACCATTAAACCACAGTGTTGATGGATTGTGAGAAATTCAAAATAGATTTCATGCCCACAATTTAGTTCAAATTATGCCACCACAAACAAATCACTCAACACTACTGTAAATTATTGGAAAAATTGGGTGACTTGTGTGTAGATATTTTATCAATTAGGATAATCATAATCAATTAATTAACATAAACATAATTCAACAATAATATAAAATAAGAAGAGGGTTAAAAAAGCAAGTCTTAAGAGTCATGTCGAAGATGTTGTCCTAAGGTCGTGTTGCCTCCCCTTTGTATGGGTTCTTTCGGCACTACACGGGTCCAAAATAAAACTCATGTGACTTTCTTTCTATGACCACGACCATAGAGATATAATTGAACGAGTCTCTTCAAGTTGTCAAAATAGTATGAATATAGTATAAAATTGTAAAGAGGGCAATACTTCAAGTTGTTATAAGATATGTACAACAATGAAATGCAATCACATTTTATAGATAAAATTTCTACCCCTACATTTATACCATTAAAACATAAGTTATAATATGTATTATAATCTTTTAATTTTATGTTAAAACTAAAAGTTAAAAGGTTTTTAATTTGAAAGGTTGAAACTTTTATTCTTAAGTTACAATCTAAATTATGAGATTTAATTTTCTATTAAAAATTAATATTTGTTGTGAAAGTTTAAAATTTTTAAAAAATGTTCCAAAATTTTTTTTAATATATTGAAATTATAATATCTATAAATCTTTTTGGTACCATAGTAAATTAAAAACGATTTTATTTTTATTTTTTTTCGGGGGAGGGGGGTTTGAAAAATTCTTTGAAGTGTCTTTAAAAATAAGATATATTGTTTTTTAGAATGAAACATGCTTTTCCATTTTTTTTAATAAATTTGACTTTTACCAACTTTCGTTGGTTACCATCAGTTGCAAGTCCAAAATGGACAATCAATCTACGTTTGTACATTCTCTTTGCAAACATTCTCTATTCTATCACAACAAAAGCCACGAAGTTCGGCTCATAGTTTGCTTCAGGGACCGATTCAAGATTGGATCCAAGATAAGGTTACAAAATTTCAAACCGGACTACTACGTGGAAAAAAAATTACACATAAAAAACTGATTTTTTGCCAAAAAAATAAAAATAAAAAATACCTTAATAAAAAGCTATTGGGCCTGAGTGGGGGACTACAGCCCAGCCCCTCTTGAATCCATCTCTGGTTTGCTTCCCAGACCATTGGTCGAGTTTTATAAACACTATATACAATACTTTAAAGGGGTCGTGAACCTAACTCTCCAACCGATGAGAAAACAAGGTATCAGCTTAACTAATTCAATAGATTAGTAGTCGAAGAGAAAATATTCAACAAGTAAAAATATCTTAATTCTTTTTCTTAGCTATTTACGAATATAGAAAATAGTTGCTACATGCTCAAAATCAAGATGAGAAATAAGAATTACATAATATTTCTGCAATCTTAAGACAATGAAAAAATATTCTATCATAAGAGACAATAGTCGAGATTTGCACAACATTAAGAAAAAAAAAATTAATAATCATTAGTCCGTCTAATTATTGTATATAATTCTTCGTCGTATTGTCATTTACCTAAAATTGAGTAATAAATAAATTTATTTCGATCAAATGTCTAGAGTATAGAGCCTAATTTATTAATATTATAATAATACCTACTTCGTCGTGGAAAGTTATTATAATTATTTTATGCAACAAATAATCAATTTAATTAATCCTAGTAAGACCGTTGACTTGGACTGCCTTCTAAATTGTAATTTATTAATATAAACCATAGATGGTTTTGATGGCTTGTGGGACACAGTTTTGATGGCTTGGAAATTGTACAGTCCTTGTTTGTTGTTGAGATGAGAACTTTCCCTTGCTTCAAGTCTCTCCAAACATTTTTTTTTTTTTTAATTATTAGAGATTTGCAGCTACAAATGTTGTTGGTTTAGCAATCATCAACAACTATATTTTGTGCATGCCAACGAAAAAGTAGGGTCAAAATGGACCATTTAAACGGTTGAAAAATGATTGATTTTGACATAATTTTGAGTGAAATCCACTTAATTTGGTGAGTTTGAAGCAAAACATCGACATTCATAATTCACACGCTCAAATCATGTTCAGTGAAAGAAAAATTGTAAGAAATCCACAGTAATATTTATGTTTAGAACAACATTTTTGGTAGAGCCAACTTTTTGGAGTGGATATTGTTTTGTTGACTATTTAAGTCATCTCAACACTGTATCAAATTTTACACCATTGTGTATCAAGCTAAAATAGATCTCCAATCATTAGACCAAAAGTTACATCAAATGAACAGTGTTTAACCATTTTCTTCCCTTTTTTATTCTTTATAATTTATTTATTTGAAATATGATTTATTTAATTATTTTATAAATGCATAAATTACTAAATAAATAATTACGTTAAATTACGGAAAAGATTAAATTCATTAATAAATATAAAAAATATAGTACAATTAATAAAAACACTACAACAACGAAAATATTAAATCACGCCATCAGAAAATAGTACAATGTATTTCGAATTTGGATAGATAATATTACAAAGTTGCAAAATTTTTGCAATTTAATTCTCGAAATTCATATATTCTTCCCACAAATTTTTTTCTTCTTTTAATTAATTTATTAATTATTAATTTTTACATTTAAAATTATTTTAAATGCAAATAATAATAATAATAATAATAATAATAATAATAATAATAATAATAAATTATTGTATTAAAAAATATATAGCACAACTGACACAAATACCCTCAACAAATTTTTATTTGGGAAAGGATAAAAAGAGGGGCAACAGAGACTTTATACACTTTGCACCATTTTGCACCAAAATAGTGCAAAACATAGTGGTGCATTCAAGCAACTTTACACCAAAAAATAGTGCAATTTGATAATTCGGTGTTACCATTGAAGTTGCCCTAAGTCAATTAGAAGTAGAACAAGGGGAAATTTTAATAGAATTGGATTATTTTCGATTCAACAAAATATGGGGAAGTTTGGAAGACTTTTCTTGAAAAAATAAAAATGAATGCAAGCAATGATTGACCACCTTTCATTTTTTTCAAATTTCTATTTTTTGGCAGATCTATTTCAAATCTTACTAGAAAACTTCCACCACCATTTTCCTACTGCTCGAAATAGTGCATAAAATAAATTCAAAATGTTATGGACACTTTAAATTAATTGAAGACTATTTAGTTCACAACAATTCTAGTCAACATTCATTACAATCTCCAAGTAAGAAATAAATGATCATCCATAATATTGTATAAGAATATGACATCAAACCATTGACAAAGCGAATGAAATATTCCACATTTTAAATACATATATGGATACTAGATGCAAAGCATATTGTAAAGACACCAATCTCAATCATAGCCATAAAAGTAAGTAAATTTTAATTTGCGCCAAGTTTAGAGTTATAAAAAGTATATATATACATCTCTGAGAAAACAAAACATTTATAAATTATAAAAAGGATGCCGAGAAGAAAAATAGAGATAGAGCTTCAAGTACTTCCGTATGGTGGATCTTCAAGCTACTCATATCACATAGAGAATGTCGAACCCAGACATTGAACCTTAATTTGGATTCAACTTTTCAATTAGAGATAATCAAACTAGTGTTTAAGAACTTCTTGACAATTCCAATTGTTATCACAGACTAAAAACCATAATAAAGAATCAATAGCCTAGATTGGAGCTTCCGGAGATTAGTTCTTACACATATTTACATAATGGGAACCTCGAATCCATCAACTAATGACAAGCAAATATAATAAAGAATAGAAGAAATAAAAAGGGCTCCAAAAGGAATTTTAAACTTGTAGGCTTTTACTCTTTCATGCTAGAATATCAAGCTATGACTAAGGTTTTTGAGATCGAACAATCAGATTGCAGGACAAGAGTATGACTCTTCCTAGAAAATAACAAACAAAAAATTGTTGGTACATATTTTTTTTCTCCACAATGCAAGCACCCACCAACCCTGGATGGGAGCCATAAGGATACCTTGAGATGAAATGCTAAAAGTTTGGAAAACTAAAACCAAAACCTTAATGACAGAGAGTTTCTCCGTAATTCACCCAACGCACGAAACCATCTGAAAATTCCTCAAGGACTTCATAATTATGGCCTTCAACATACAACAGATCTGTACAAGTCGGTTCCCTTCCCTGCAAGTACAAGCCACATGGTTGCATCAATATGATTGATTAAAAATATTGTTGAAAGAAAAAAATAGTACACTTTTAATTTCGATAGTAATAGGCACTTTGTTAGTTATTAGTGCAAGATACGTTGTGTAACAATATCTACCACAAGCTACAAACGCATTTTAAATTGTTGGTGAAGTCGTAAAGGGCAGCATTGTCTATCATTGAAGAAAATAGATATGCAATGGGAAATGTTGCACAAATCTGTTTTGTACTCGTACTCTCTCATACTATGCAATTCTAAGTTATTCTGAATTTCATAATGTGGAATCCTTGACGTAAAAACAATGTGAATGAATAGAACATGCAGATTTCACTTAAAAATGTGTACTTGGTAACTTAGCCCTTGTTTGGGTCCATTTTAACGAGGTTTGAGGGAATAATGTATTTTGGAATACTTTTTTTTTTTTTATTTTTTTTTTTTTTTTTTTTTTTTGTGTGATAATATGTGGTTAAAAAGAAGAAAAAGTTTTTGTTTACATGTAATATTATTTTATTAAAGAATGT